TTTACCCCAAATCAAAATATTTTTCAAAAGTTGATCATTTTACGGTCTGAATTTTAGAGCAGGATTTGTTTGTAAAGTTGTATTTTCGATTTTTAGCACTTTACTGAACAACGTTACAATTTATTGTCGTCGCAATACTGGAATTTCCAACTCTGATACAATACTTTGAAAAATATCAAAATTCAATACTGTTTTTGATACCACAAGGAATACATTTCTCAACATCGAGAGTATTCATGCAGTTTCCTTTGGCTTAGTCCCTTAATTATCAGGGGGCGCCACAACTGTTCCGGCATATATTTTACACAGCGGATGCTCTTCAGCCGCAACCCAGTACTGGGAAACACCCATACACACTCATTCACACCGTATCTGTCAACCGTCCTGTTTTTCCCGGGATTCTCCCATATTTTACAGTTCTATCCTGCTATCATACCGTAAAGTATTTCTCTGAACAGCCGAGCCTCCTTATACACAACCCATACCGCCGAACCACCAGGGGTCGTCCCTTGCTCTTAAACATGAGTCTGTTCTGTGCTTTCGCTTTGTTTAGGAATGAAAACACTTATAAATAAATATGAAAACGGCGCAATTCCCTTTCCTTTTGATTACAGGTGCCATCGCCCATCCTATGCAATCCTCAAAACAGTCATATAATGGTGCATGACTGTCAGCTGACAAGCTCTATAGTGATAAACAGACGCTGTTTTCCAAACTAATTCTGTACACGCGATTTGAAGCGGAGGGAAAGTCTGGCTTTTGCGTGCGTGTTTGAAAACATACACACACAATTAATAATAATAATAATAACATATAAAGATGTCGATTTTGAAGGTTTTTTTTTTTTTTTTTTTCAAACACAACTAATGGAATCCCTTATTATGATTGGGCATATCCCTTATTTTCACATCCCAATGTTGGCAGGTATGACTCACACTTATACACTAAAGCCAATTTAGTCCATTCAATTCACCTATAGCGCATGTGTCTGGACTGGGGGAAAGCGGAGCACCTGGAGGAAATCGCACCAACATGGGGAGAACATGCAAACTCCACACAGAAATACCAACTGACCCAGCCGGGACTTGAACTGGCGACCTTCTTGCTGTGAGGCCAAAGTACTACCATTGAGTCACCGTGCTGCCCATAGAAGTGTGCAAATGAAGTAAAAAATGTTGGATTTCACACAACTGATTTATATTGCGACAACACGAAGGTATTAAGTTAACTTATTAGAATTTACAAATTTATATTGATTGAACCTAAACTATTAAATTGTCCTAAAATCGTAGGAATTGTGCTGTTTCAGCTCATTTTAATTAAGTTGTTTGAACAAAACAGCAAAGGTAATTATTATTATTATTATTTCTTTATTTTTTAGTGTAAACCATTCAATGTTTTTGTATTTTTCAAGTAAAGTAATTTTGCAATGGGTATGTCAGCAGTCCATAAGTCCAAATGGCAATGAGTTAATAGTGAAAACACTGGTGCAATCTTATTTTATTTTAACCCCAATCACTTTTCCCCCCTTTGTTTATGCAACACAAAATATTGGTGAAACCAAAACAATGTACTTATTACACATTACTCAAATTGTACTGAAAACTACTAATAATACATTTGCTGTTTTAGAACTATAATAAATAAAAAAAATATTATAATGTTAATATTAATAATTATTAAAACAAAAATAATATTAAAAATAAAAATAATATTAATAATTATAAAAATAATTAAACTCTTAATAATTCTTAACTATTGTTTTCTTTTATGTAAACCATTTTTTACCACTGAAAAATGTTTTCTTTTGATTTTGGGGTGAAATTTGACCGTGTTTTACTGAGAACTTCCCATTTAATGTCCTATTATAGCTATCTAGATGTCATGTACAATAATGAAATCTAATGAACTGGCTGTGAAATTAAAAAATAATTTCTAATAGCATAGAAAAATAACTTTGCATAAGTAAATAAATAAATTTCCACATATTTCAAATACCTTTTTGAATATATAAGCATACAAGGTCCATGTGATAAGACATGCTCACACACAGCCACAAATACAAAGGAAAGTCACGGTAAACATTTAACAGCACGTTCCACAAGGCAATGATAGAAGATCTCCCCTGAACTCATGAAACCTCAATCAAAGATGGCTTATTTCTTTTCCCGAAAATAATCCTAAAAAAATGTGCATTTAAAAGGCATGGATTGCCCTGAAATTAAAATAGTCATATTTTAAGATCTTTTTGATCAAAAGAAGACTTTTCCGTCCATCTATTTAAGAAAATAAAAAGTGTATTCACTCAAACCTTTCAGTGGAGGATTAGAAATATCTTGGATTTGATTTAAAATCTAATTCAGTCTGTAGATTGACTAAAGTCTTGTAGTTTTGGAACGAGTAAATGATGATTTGGTCTCTATAGGTCATGGCTCTCAAACTGGATTCCTGGAGGGCCGCAGCTCTGCACAGCTTTGCTCCAACCCTAATCAAACACAGCTGATTCAACTAATCAAGGTGTTCGAGACTAAGGCCGTACTCACACTATGTACAGTTGCCTCTAACCGGGCCAAAGAACGCTTGTTCCCCCTCCCGTCTCCCCCGACGGCCCGCACTCACATTACAATCGGGCCTGGGCACGCTTACGTCATCGCTGCTGCGCTGTTCAGTAAGCGCTCTCACTCAGCACAGTGGAGATTTCTCTAGTTATATCGTTTCAGTGGTTTGATATGCAGTGACATGCAGTCAAATATTTCACCAAAGGGATGCGGTGACACGCAGTCAGATATTTCGCTGTACAGATCCGCCACTTTTGCCGCTCATAAACAATCATAAAGCCCTCGTGCTGCAGGAATGAGGAGGTCTGCTGAAGGTGCAGCTGTCGTGCAGTGAGGGGTTTGCGTATTTAATAATCTACAGCAGTTTGCGTTCACTGAACAGTAACAGGGTTCAACGCTAAGGACATTTTCCACTGGCCCGACTGGACCAGCAGTTCAGATTTTTACTGGCCCTGCCAAAACTTTCACTGGCCCCACCAAAATAACTAATAAATAAATAAAAAATAGCTATTTTTTTAGCCACATATTTTAAATAATGTGTAAAAAAATAATGTCTTTGAATCTAGAATTTAAATATTTTTAAAATGTTAAAATATTTAGCAGTAAAATACAGCAGTATGGAAAATGTGCAGGTATTTTATTGCTAAACAAAAGGTGGCTGACTTAAAAGTGATGGAAAACTATGCAAAACATCACTTCATTTTTTTCGTTGTGTTGTACCCATGTAAATATCTTTTTCCACAACGTTGGAAACAGACGTTTTTCTTTAGCCTTATAATTTGATGTTGTCGTCTCTTCACTGTTCTGGTTTTTACCAGGTTGTGGAAAAAAAAACGTGCTCACACCAACCAATCAGATAAAAGGAACCAAAAAGCAATATGGGGTTTACGACTTTACAGAAAACGTAGCATTCTGAGACTTAAAAGCACAAATTGAACCGCGCTCAGGCACACCTCTTCCAACCAGGGCCGGCCAAGTAAACCGTGCCTGAGCCCAATTCAGCGCACTCACACTTCTCAAACGATCCGGGAAACGGGCCTGGACACGGTACGGATGGCATAGTGTGAGTAGACCCTTAAGAGCTAAAAGAGCTGTGGCCCTCCAGGATTTGAGTTTGGACCACTGCTATAGGTCATAACATAATCATATACAAGTCAGTGTGAAATCAGAATTGGACGCCTGTACTTTTCATTCATTTAGCATTTCTGGTTTCATAACTTAAAAGTGCTCATTATTAAACTATTCTCCTGATTCATCAATGCTAAAAACTCCTGCAGGTCTTAAAAAGGCCTTAAGACGTCAATATCTGTACTCAGTTTAACACTTCTTTTCTTTTTTCTAAGGAAAAAACTAATTTTAAATCTATAAATGTTGCATGCCCTGCAAAAATGAACGTCCTTTTTGTTTTCCATACGAACATTTACTCTGTAAGTTTAGTTTTGCAAGTGAATTGAACAGCTGACTGGGTTAAATCTAGTGCTGTTATTCAAACCTTCAACTTTTTGTTTATTTGTTTGTTTTGTAAAATTAGTCAAGGTAATTTGATATTTGTTATACGTTGTATTTTCAAGCTGTGAGTTGTTGCTAATAAAGCTCATCACGTGCTCTCTATAAATGACATTTGGAGAACACACAGATGCATGATGATCCTCTTTGTAAACTTAAAAAAAAAAAATCCTCCGTCTTAAATTGACCTTGATAAGACCTGCGGAACTCGGTTACCTGCTTTCTGCTGGAGCTCTTGGTGAATTCCTCCAAATAACAAACCCGCAAACTCAGCTCTGCTGTTAAAAATGCGATGGACAGAAGTACGATGGTTTTGCATGCCTCGTCTGTTAACATAATGGCTTGCATTCAAAACACTTGAATTGACCATATGCATGGATGCTGATTAGCCAGTCTGGACATTTGAAGTGAATTATAAATCGTACAGCTAGCAGAATGCGGCATCAGCTGCGACGCAGGAGTTTTTAAGCTAGTTTCAGCCCATGTGTGTTGACAAATCTGAGATTTTCATTGAAAAAAAATCTCATAAAGCTTTTAAAACACTTGAGGTGGAGAAATAAGTCAGCAAATTAATTTTTTTTTTGCCTGAACTACCCCTTTTTTATCCCTTGTCTTGTCACAAATTGACCATTTAAAACAATTTAATAAGACATTTTGCAGCTGGCATAAAGAGAAAGCCCCCCCCTCCCAAAAAAAAATTGTCATAGTTTATTCCTCCTATGTGTTTAACAGAAACTGTGTGTAAATGAATATTTGCGTGAACGATCCCTTTTAAATGCATATGGTCAATCAGTGATGCTGAAAGTCTGAGCCGGAGAGCTGTAACGTGTTAAACATGTAGATTACTGAACACAGTACTTTTCACCACAGAGGTAAACGCACAAACCGCGTGTCAGTAGAAATGCTGAGTATTGTCGTGTGTGTTTTCCCCCTCAGTTTCACGGCCTGCTGATGTCCGGATGTGTTGATCAGACTCAGAAGAGGCTCTGCCTGCAGGCGGCGCTGTGGAGCAGGCAGCTGCAGCACTGTATGGCCTGCCACCAGCTCTGGCAGTTCAAGGGCTCCATATTGGCTTTGGCCATCATCACTTTAGAGCTGGAGAGACTGACGCCGGACTGGTTCTCCGTTTTTACCGGCCTGCTGAGGAAAGCACAGGTAGTGAAGCGCATACATTGATTAAAAATAGATGAAAATACTGCTTTATTTCAGCCTGCTGTGAAATTAATTCCTTTTTAAATATTTCCCCATGTGTTGTTTGACAGCAAGGATATTGTTCACAGTGTTTCCTATTATATTTGCTCTTCTTCTGGAGAAAGTCCAATTCCTTTAGCTTGGCTGGAGTTATATTTCTTAAATAAGCCAGTAATATTGATTGTCTGTCTATTATTATTATTTTTATTTATTTTATTCATTCATTTTCTTTTCGGCTTAGTCCCTTTATTAATCTGGGGTCGCCACAGCAGAATGAACTGCCAATTTATCCAGCACATGTTTTTTTACGCAGCGGATGCTCTTCCAGCTGCAACCCATCACTGGGAAACACCCATGCACACTCATTCACACACACACATTATGGACAATTTAGCATACCCAATTCACCTTTATTGCATGTCTTTGGACTTGTGGGAGAAACCGGAGTACCCAGTGGAAACCCACAATGCAAACTCCACACAGAAATGACAACTGACTTCTTACTATGAGGCGAACGTGCTAACCACTGTCACCGTGCAGCCTTTTTATTTATTTTTAATTTTCTATTTTAATTTTCTATTTTTTTGTATTTTTAGTCGTTATTATTTATTTATTTTAAGTTTTTGTTATTTTTATAATTTTTTTGTTTTTATTTATTTATTTTTAATTATTTATTTTTATTTCTTTAATTTCTTCTTATTATTTTATTTATTATGATTATTGTTATTATAGTATTTTTTTCGTTTATTTATTTTTATTTCTTATTTTGTATTTGTTTATTATTATTTTGTATTTTATTTTTATTTCCAATTTTTAAATTTGTATTTCTTTTTATAAATGTTTTTCTTATTTTGTTATTTTTTTTCTTATGTCTTTTTTTTATTTCTTTTAATATATTCTAATTATTTATAATTTATTTTAAGTCTTTATTTGTTTATTTTATTTCTTATTTTGAATTTATTTTTATTTATTATTTGTATTTTATTTATTTATTTTTAATTAATGATAATTTTAATTTAGTAATAATTACATTTTTATTTTTTTATTTTTTGTTTTATTTATTAAGTTTTTGTTTATTTTTTAAAATTATTTTTTATTTATTTTGTATTTATTATTTTGATTTATGATTTTTTTATCCTTTCATTAATGTGGATATTCTTTTAATTTTATTATAATTTTTTTTTTTATATTTATTAAATTTTTAATCAGTTTGTATTATTATTTATTTCATTTATATTTTGCTAAGATCAATATTAAATGTGTCTGTGTGTTTTTCGGTGACTGTTTTGCTTAAACGCTGCAAAAAACTGTTGTAGTTTCAAGTGCAAATGTCTTTAAAAAATATTGATCAAAGTCTTTTAAATGCTTTTTGATTTAAGAATCTTTTTCAAAAACAAGTCAAAATGAAATGTTTTACTTAAAACAAGCAAAACCATGTTATTTCAAAGCGAAAACAAGACTCTTTTGCTTGATTTAAGAAAAAAATAACTCCCTTAAACATGATTTCTGAAAACACACCAAGATTTATTACTCGTCTTCTAGAAAATGCTTGTTGAGTGAAGACTGTAGTTTGGTTATGTGTGTGTTTCAGATTGAAAGCACAGAGTTGATCTGCTGCAGGGAGACTGTGGACGAGTATCTCTCCAGCCTTCGCTTCTCCATCCCAACAAATGCCGTCTATATTTTAGGCAGCGGCGTGCTGGTGTTAAGAGGACCTGAAGGAGAGCAGCGCAAACGGCAGGCCAGACGAGCACACACAGCGCAGGACATGGACGATTTCTATGACGGATTCTGCTGTCTGTATGATGAGCAGACTTCGGCCTGTCCTGCGCTCATCTAGAACACACACATAATGCACTTTCCTGATCCTTTAACTCAGCGGTTCCCAATTCCAGTCCACATTTTGCATCTTTCTCACGTCACACGTCAGACTCAGACCATCAGCTGTTTAACAGAAAGATCCATGAACAGATACTTGTCAAACAATAGAGCAGTGGTTTAAAACTCCAGTCCACATTTTGTATGTCTCGCTGTTATTTAATGCATGGGAATCCGTTGGTGGATCTTTCTGTTCAGAAGCTGTTAAGTGAGAAAGATACAAAATATGGACTGGATTTGGGAGCCACTGCTCTAACACAGCACTTTCCACACATTACTAATGTTTGCTTTTTATATTGTTTATTTTTATACTTTTTTAAATATTTTTCTATCCTCATATGAGCTATTCGGATCTTTTTATTTTTTTATGAAGTCAATTTCTTAAAGGAACGCTCCACTTTTTAAAATTATTTTCCTTACTCAATTAATTACTCCTTTACATCCAATGTCTTCCTGAACACATCAGATTCAGATGATCAGTTTTGCGGTTGCCAATTCCGGTCCACATTTTGTATTTCTCTCTGTTATGTGATGGATAAGAATCAGTTCATGGATCTTTTTGTTGAGCAGCTGATGATCTGAGTCAGGTGTGTTAAGTGAGAGAGATGCCAAATGTGGACTGGATTTGGGAGCCACTGATCTAACGCAGCACTTTCCACACATTACTATTGTTTTTTTGTTTGTTTGTTTTTTTATTTAGTTTATTTTTATACTTTTTACTATATTTTATACTTTTTTCATATTTATTTTTTTGCTTTTTTTATTATTTGTCCATCCTCATATGAGTTATTGGGAAGTCCAACATTTTGTTCATGGTTTTTCAAGGTACTTTAACCAGATCTTTTGATTTAACTGGTTAATCTTTTTTTATTAAGTCCGTTTCCTAAAGGAAAACTCCACTTTTTTTATTTTTTTTTAAATGACATTTTCCTTAGTCAATTAATTTCTTAATTACTCCATGACATCCTATGTCTGTCTTAACACACCTGATTCAGATCATCAGCTCCTCAACAGAAAGATCCATGAGCTGATACTTGTGTATTGAGTAATAGAGGCAGAGCAGTGGTTTCCTATTCCAGTCCACATTTTGTATGTGTCTCTGTTATTTGATGCATAAGAATCAGTTCATGGATCTTTTCTAATGAGCTGATGATCTGAGTCAGGTGTGCTAAGTGAGACACAAAACGTGGACTGGAATTGTGAGACTGCTCTAACGCAGCACTTTCAACACATTACTGATGTTTATTTTTTTGTTTGTCTTTTTTTATATAGTTTATTTTTATAATTTTATATTTTTGTATCCTCATATGCGCTACTCATAGGAACAAACATGTTTTACATACTTTTTCAAGGTGCTTTAACAGATCTTTTGATGTAACTGGTTAATCTTGTTATTTTAAGCCAATATCTCAAAGGAACTGTTTTTTATTACATTTTCCTCAGTATATTCTTTACTTAATTCCTTAATTATTAAATTACTTTGTCTTCCTTAACACCCCTGATCATCAGCAGAAAGATCCATGAACTGATACTTGTTAAATAACAGAGCAACATACAAAATGTGGACTGGATTTGGGAGCCACTGCTCTAAAGCTGCACTTTCCACACATTACTGATGTTTTTCTGATATTTGTTTGTTTTTATATGGTTTATTTTTTTATACTTTTATATTTTTGTATCCTCAAATGAGCTATTTGGAAGTATAATTTCTACATAATTCTTTTTTTCACGGTGCTTTTATGGAAATCTTTTGATTTAACTGGTTAATCTTTTTGAATCGCGTCGATTTGTTAAAGGAACACTCCACCTTTTTATTTTTAAATAGTTAACAGTTATGTCTTGCCATTTTTTTTTTTAAATCCGTTCAGTCGATCTCAGTGCCTGGCAGAGCACTTTTAGCGTAGCTTAGCATAGATCATTGTATCTGATTAGACCATTAGCATCTCATAGATTATTAAAAGAAGTTTTGATAAAGCTTGACTTATTTTTTTTTTTTTTGAGGTGTACAGTTGAGTCTTACTATTTATTAAAGGAAAATAAGTCAAGCTTTATCAGAACATATTTTTTATCAAGTGAGATGCTAATGGTCTAATCCACTTCAATGATCCATGCTATGCTAACCTAAAAGTGCTTCTGCCAAACCCTGAGATCAACTGAATGGATTAAAAAGGGTAAGACTCAACTGTATACTTCTAAATCATTCAATCGTTCTCGGAGCCTGGCAGAGCACTTTTAGCTTAGCTTAGCATAGATCATTGAATCTGATTAGACCATTAGCATCTCATAGATTATTAAAAAAAGTTTTGATAAAGCTTGACTTATTTTTTTTAGAGGTGTACAGTTTAGTCTTACCAATTTTTAAAGGAAAATGAGTCAAGCTTTATCAGAACTTTTTATTAAGTGAGATGCTAATGGTCTAATCCACTTTAATGATCCATGCTATGCTAACCTAAAAGTGCTTCTGCCAAACCCTGAGATCAACTGAATGGATTAAAAAGGGTAAGACTCAACTGTATACTTCTAATCCATTCAATCATAATCGGAGCCTGGCGGAAGCACTTTTAGCTTAGCTTAGCATAGATCATTGAATTGGATTAGACCATTAGCATTTCACTGGATTAAAAAAAAAAAGTTTCGATAAAGCTCGACTCTTCTGTAGTTACATTGTGTACTAAGACTGACAGAAAATGTTCTGTTCTCTAGGCTGATATGGCTGTGAACTCTACTGTCATTCTGGTGTAATAATGAGACTTGTTGCCATACCACACCTTGAGCAGATGTGATGATATTATAACACATTGTAATATAGTCCCTTTAGTTGGGGACTTCTTTTAGGCATTGCGTAATATCATTACGCATGGTATGGCAGCAAATTTCCTTGATTATTACGTTGGAATGAAAACGTATTTATTTTAGAGCGAGATGCTAATGGTCTAATCTGACTCAATGATTTATGCTAAGCTAAGCTAATAGTGCTCACGCCACAACCAGAGATCGACTGAATAGACTAAAATGTTAAAACTCATGTTTTCCTCCAGGAGAGCTGTAAAACAATTTCCCCCAAAAAGTGGATTGTTCTTTCAGTGAGTTTCCCCAAAAGTGTTTTGTTTTGTTGAACGCAAAGGAAGATATTCTGAAGAATGTTGGAAAAGGCAGCCTTTGACATTCATAGTAGGAACAAAAATGCTATGGAAGTCAATGGTTACCGATTTTCTACATTCTTCAAAATATCTTTCTTTGTGTTCAACAGAAATTGAACTATTATAAGTGCTTCCACAGTGACAGGATTGTTATATTTAGGTGAGCTGTCTCTGTAATGGAGTTATGCTATATAGTATTATGCAGTTGTCAGGTTTTTGATGCTTGACACAATTTATTTTTTTATATTTTGTGTTTCTGATTAATGTGAAGAAGAAATAACATTTGTTAAGCTAGTATGCAGTTTTTTTTTTGTCCTGATTTCAACTAAAAATGGACCCTTAGAAGGCAGCTACAGGTATTAAACTCCTCTGAAATGAAACTAATAGGAGTTTTCTGTTCTGAATGGGAGCCTGCATTTATTTTGTACAAACAGGAGATTCTTTTGTTCTATGCAATAAAAAAAAACCTGTATTTTGACAGCTGTCATTTGAGTTTTTTTATGCTTATTTAAAATTATAATATAGTTCATTAATATATATCTACATAGTCAACATCGGAAGTTGATCAAAACCCTTCATCGACGTTCTTAAAACTATTGGACACCCTTTCTAGTCTGCAGTTAGTGAATAAAAAAAATAAATAAATTCCAGTGTTTACTACTGTGTAGATCAGGGGTCACCAAACTTGTTCCTGTAGGACCGGTGTCCTGCAGATTTTAGCTCCAACCCTAATCAAACACACCTGAACAAGCTAATCAAGGTCTTACTAGGTATACTTGAAACATCCAGGCAGGTGTGTTGAGGCAAGTTGGGGCTAAACACTGCAGGGACACCGGCCCTCCAGGACCAGGATTGGTGACCCCTGGTGTAGATTCAGCTGTGTGTGTGTGTCTGTTTATACACTCACCAACCATTCTTTTAGGTACACCTTACTAATACCAGGTTAGTACTTTTGCCTTCAGAACTTTCTTAAGGAAATTTGTGTTAACGAGCAGTTGGACAGGTGTATCTAATAATGTGACTAGTGAGTGTAGATGTATGTATATGCCAAAGAATATTTATTTGTATAGGGATATTTTCACATTCTGATTCCAATGCCTTATTATTATAATATATATATATAAATATTTAAAAAAAAAAAAAAAAAAAAATATATATATATATATATATATATATATATATATATATATATATATATATATATATATATATATATATATATATATATATATATATATGTGTGTGTGTATTTATATTTATAAATATATGTAAATATATATATTTATAAAATATAATTGTTCAAATAATATATTTTAAATATTCTTAGGAATATAAAATATTTTTAATATTGTCATTCTGGCATTAAAAATGACAATAAGTCTGAGTCTTAAAATGACAATAATATAGTTTATCGTAATACATTTCAGTGCAATATGTTGTACAACAAAAATGACATATAGTGATCTCCAACCAATCTCGGTCCTGGAGGTCCAGTGCCCTGCAGGGTTTAGCTCTAACTTGCCTCAACACACCTGTCTGGGTGTTTCAAGTATACCCAGTAAGAGCTTGATTAGCTTGTTCAGGTGTGTTTGATTGGGGTTGGAGCTAAAACCAGCAGGACACCGGCCCTCCAGGATAAACTTTGGTGATCCCTGTATAAGTAACTAACATAAAAACAAAAAGTAATCTCTGACATTACTCTCTCAGCAGAAGAGTAATCTACAGTAACTAATCACACCCAACGTCGGCTTTATTTCTCGTATCACGCAATTAGTCTGATTAAAAGAGCGAACAGCACACAGCAGATGATGTAAATGGGGGAGTGTTTATTTCAGCATCGGCTATGGCTTTAAATGTGAAACAATATAACCTGAATACAGCCTTATACACCTCGCGATACAAAAAAATAGATATCATTTGCATATCTGTTGTCGTGTGCTCTTAAAAACAGCATCAAAAATAGCTTTATTCGGCCAGGCTGGTGTAATAATAAAATCATCACTGCGCTGTAATCATGAGTTTGGCTCAGATCTTAAATACTACTGTACATTGGCAAGGGAAACGTGCACTTCTCAATACACGCGTCACAAAAAAAAACTGACAGCGAGACGAATGAGCAGATGGTTTAGTACCAAAACACACGGTGTGCTATAAAAGAAAACACACACACTCGCGCTCGGAAACATAAGAGTAAAATAACACAGCTGATGAGGGATGTTAAAAATGACCTTCATCCACACCAGAAACACACATGAAGGAAAACAAGAGACAAAAATACAACACAGGAATCTGTTCAGTCCCCATAATGCACCTCTCTGCCGTCCAATCAGGAGCTTTTGGTCCTTTAACACAAGGAACATGTCAAAAAAACTAAACAAATCAAAAGGCGACGCTGCAAATGTAATGAAGGAAAGTCCATGGATGGCCTGCGATGTGCTCATAAATTAACTGAAAGAAAAAACAAACAAACACAAAACAGGAAAATGAGTATCAACGGAAAAATGAGGAACAAAAAAAGGTGGAAACATGCAAATGAACACATGAATATGATCATAAAAGCACTGAGAAATACAGAAATACAAGCATGCTGTCATATTGGGATGAAAACTAAACATTCACTGAAAATTACTGCAGGAATTTTGAGTCATATTGTCCAGAACTGAAGCATCCGCCGAGTCTATAATGCAGCTGAAGGGTCAGTTCACACAACAATGAACATTTCCTCACCATTTACCTACACTCAAGTGGCTCTAAATGAATTCGTTTCTTTCTTCTGTTGAACACAAAACAATATTTTTTGAAGAATGTTGGAAAATACAGCCACTGACTTTCATTGTATGAACAAAAAATACAACAGAAGTCAATGGTTACCGGTTTTCAACATGTTTCAAAATATCTTCTTTGGTGTTTAACAGACAAAACAAACACAAACAGGTTTGTAATGATGAGTAAATGATGACAGAAGTTTTATTTTTGTGTGTACGATCACTTTAAGGTCAATATCTGGCAGTTTGTTCAGCTTAAAGGCGCAGTATGTAGTTTTGGCCACTGGGGGGGGCGTATTCACAACAAACAAAGGTGTATTTTTAATGTGTGTGAATTCATGGGAGTTGTGGTCTTTATCATCTGTGTGAAGTATTTAACACTTACACCATGATATTATGAAGCAGAGTAAGACTGAAGTAATTCCCTTTAATTACCAAGTTAATGGTTACCGGTTTTCAACATTTTTCAAAATATCTTCTTTAGTGTTTAACAGACAAAACAAACACAAACAGGTTTGTAATGATGAGTAAATGATGACAGAATTTTTTTTTGTGTGTGTACGATCACTTTAAGGTCAATATCTGGCAGTTTGCTAAGCTTAAAGGCGCAGTATGTAGTTTTGGCCACTAGGGGGGGCGTATTCACAACAAACAAAGATGTATTTTGAGGAGTGTGGATTCATGGGAGTTGTGGTCTTCATCATCCTACACAACTCTAGCAGAAATCATGTAGATGGATGAGTAAAATATTTAACACTTATAGAGTGGATGAGGACGGCAATTTGTATGCAAAAACCCAGAAGCAAGTTAGCATTTTAGCAGTTGCGGTTCCCGTGACCTAAAGCCAATGTTTTTTTTTTTTTTTTTTTTTAATGGGATTTTGGTTAAATTGCTTAAGTAAGGTTTGTGGTAACCACAAACTCAAGATACTTTCACATTTTATTCTAAAAGATAAAACACATCAGTTACATCAAACACACTCCTCGTTTTTAAAAATCAATTACGCTTCTATATAAAAGACAGTTGCTATCAAATTGCTAAATGGGACTGCAGGCGATGTCAAATTGATGACAACATTTTTATTTTTGTGTGTACTATCATTTTAAGGCTGATAGCTGGCAGTTTATTTAGCTTAAAGGCACAGTATGTAGTTTTGGCCACTAGGGGGCGCGTATTCACAACAAACAAACGTGTATTTTGCTGAGTGTGGATTTATGGGATCATTCTACAGATTCCAGCAGAAATCATGTTGATAAATGAGTAAAAAATTCAACACTTATAATCATGGTAACATGAAGTAAGATAACCGTGAAGAAAAACACTGAAGTATTTCCATGTTTTCTAGAAAACCACAGTGAATATTGAGGGTGTGTGACGTCATTAGCATGAACACACAGCACACAGTCCATAACACTTTAAACGTGATTATTTCTCTGGATTCGATCTTTCTTTTAAACATTTGGGATAATATAAGCGAATAAATCAGCAAAATAACATTGTTCTATAGACTTTTAGATGTTTGAATGATAAAAATGTACATATTGTGTCTTAAAAATGATAAAGGTGTTTTCAAAATGACTTAAAGAGTTTGTTTAACACTTGTTAAAAGTGAGATTTCTCTGGATTTGGTCATTCTTTGAATCATTTGGGATAATATAAGTACATAAATCAGCTAAATACAAACGGTTCTAGTGATTTTTAGGTATTTGGATGAAAAATCCGTACACATTGTGCCTTTACATCCTGTATCCCTTTACTGGGATAACATAAGTGAATAAATCAGCCAAATAACACTGTTCTAGTGGTTTGAATGACAAAAACACTTGCCTTTAACTCAGATTGTGATAAAGGTATTTTAAAATTCAATCAAAGAATTAGTTTAACACTTGTTAAAAGTGATTATTTCTCTGGATTTGATCATTCCTTAAAACATTTGGGATGAATAAATCAGCAATAACACATTGTGTTCTAGTGTTTTTTCAGAGGCATCAATGACAAAAACGTACACATTGTGCCTTTAAAATTAGTTTGTGATATAGATAATTAAAAATATATCACAATCAGAGGATTTGTTTTATATTCTGACCGAGTGTTAGTTGTTTTGAGTCGAATATGATCAGCTTTCCTTCAGATGCTGGACCGCGTCAGGTTTAAACCACAAAATGGACGCCGTGTAAACATGCGAGTAACCACAAGATGGCGCCCATGAAGCACAGGCCTGACAGCAGAACGAGCTCAAAACCTCAACCTGCTGTTTTGTGGTAAAAATAAACGATGTTTAGGAAAAAGACTAACACCCTATGCTAATGAGGAAGAGATGGTCACTATTGGGTGGGACTTTCCCCCTCTGATGACACGTACAAAGGGAGAATGACATTCAAAGCGTTTCTGCAGACTGTTTTTATCAAGTCTGATTATAAACAATAGAATTAATACACTCTACATTAAAGAAAAAGAGGAATAAGAAGACAAGCGAACTCACTTTTTCTTGTCCTTGTCCTTCTTGAGGGGCTGTGAGAGCGAGAGGGTCTCGGCGGCCACTTTCCTCCTATTGAAAGCGTTCATCTCCTCCTCCAGCTCGCGTCTCTTCTCCTCCACTTTCCTCTTCTCCTCCTGGTGCATTCGCTTCAGCTGCTCGAACTTCTCATGTAACTGAGCAGATTACAGATATTTATTGATTTATTTGTCATGGACATCACAAGTACACTGGACAAGCCAACACTGAACGTAAAAAAAAAATCATCATTTGATTTGTTTTAAGGTGGTCGCAAATAATTTACATGGGCTGAATTTAATTGAACAAACAAATTAGATTGAACATTACTAATTAAATTTGTTTTCATAAATTGTTTATAAATTGCCCACATAAATTGTTTGCAACCATATTCATTAATTTTCCTCCAGCTTAGTTTCTTATTTATTAGAGGTCAACTAACAGTCAACTAGCATATGTTTTACGCAGCGGATGCCCTTTCAGCTGCAACCCAGTACTGGGAAACACCCATACACTGTCGCATTCACACATTTTATACTCTTGTATATTTTACTTTGATTTGTTTCTGGTACAAAAAAAATCTTAAATAAAGAAGAAAAATTATTATCTTGTTGAAGATAATAAAGCGAGTTTTTCCTCTAAACAAGCTAAATGATCTGCTAATGGGGTGAGCATCTGACATCAAGACTAAAAACAAGAGTTTTTTTGCATAAATAATAGAAATATACAATTTAGAAAAGCAATAGAAAGGCTTTTTTTGCAGTGTACATACACACTTGACGATTTGTATTAAAACTAAGTGGGAGAAAGAAGGGGAGAAGGGTATAGCAGAAGAGGATTGGACAATAATATGGAGGAATCAATGCAAATGCTCGCAGAATTGGAGGGAGATTGGTTGGAAGAGTTTAACATGGTATTTTTATCACACCTTCCCACAAATCACACCATGCTGGTCAGTGGCAGTTCTAGTTTCTGATTAGCACAGGCTTTGCATACAGGTTGAGGTTGAAAATGAAATCGAAAATGAAAATTGAAATGAAAAAGTGTCAATAAAAGGAAAGCTTAAATTTACATTTTAATTTGAATTGTGTCACTATTATAGCGTGAATATTAATAACACGCTTTGTAAAAATTGTGTTGCATTTTATTTTTCAGTTTGGCTTTTTATTTTAATATTGGCAGTCTTGACGTGGAAATGCAGTGAAAATGTAATGTTAAATCGGCAACTTCATTTTAATTATCAATTTGACAGGGACGATGTGTTGTCAAAGTGAAAATGAAAAAAAATTAAATAATTTCATTTTGTTTTCAACTTTGGCCGATATTTTGCGAACAGTGTTTTAAAATAAAATTGTTAATCTGATTTTAATTTTAATTTCCATTTTTTATTTGATTTATTTAAAGTTGGCAGGATTTACCTTCCATACAAAATGCTATATAGGAATCGTATGCTGAAGATGCAGGACTGACCTCTCTCTCCTTCTCCTTCAGCTCGGCCTCCGTCTCCTTCACTTTATTGACGAACATCTGCCTCATCTCCTCCTCCTTCTTCTGCAGGTCTCCGAGAAACTCCTTCCTCTTGGCTTCATACGTCTCCTGCAGACTGTAGCGAACACACGTCTAACGTTTTTAAACACGTTTTCATTAAGATGCACATTTTATAAAGGATTTAAATACATACTTCATCCATCAATCAAAAAGATGTTCACATATTTTATCTTTTCGCATTTTCCAGGTGCAAAAACATCTCAATTTTCAGAATGCTGCAAGCACACTGCGAGTCATGTGACTAGAACTAAGGGTGCTTATTTAGTTAGGCTGAATCGCACTAGAGTTCGTTTTCCCTTTTGGTGCGGTTCGTTTGGGCAGGTGAGAATGCAGCGATCGTACTCGAGTGCGCACCAAAAGCGGACCAAATAAGCGTACCGAGACCTGCTTGAAGAGGTGGTCTCGGTACGCTTTCAAACGAACCCTGGAGCGGTTCGTTTGTGGTGACAATATGATCCGTACTAAAACAGGTCCAACAGCAAAAAGTACTGCGCCTTTTGGACTAATCCAGCTGCCGTAGGCCGATGCGCTGTGCATTATGGGATATGAAGGAAAAATATTTGTTGACAGCGCTTCACCAACAGAGAGAGAGAGAGGGGAAACATTACCTGATAGATCGTTGGTAATATTTCCGCAAGATGAGCATGTCGCAGTTTAGCTAAATTAATTCACGCCTCCTCCTGAAGTGACGAGCGATGCATTAAAACACTGTTTTCCAGCCGCGGCCGCGCTTCATTCTCGTAATGTATAGTTCGTCTATAGCAGGAATACAATCAGTCAGCACAGTCGTCTCTCCAGAGTAAAAGGTTTTGTTTACTAGCGGGAGTTCATTGCCATTTTCCCGCACGTGAATTCTGACCAATCGATAAGCAGTTTAGGAAATATGTTCAACAACATCTGGCCAATGAGAGATGTGGATTTTGTCAGGTGACTGCATTTTGGTTCGTTTCAACTGGTTCGGACCAAAGCCAGCAGTGTGGTGTGAAAACGACCCAAAGACGGCAGAAGATGCAACAATGTATCATTTATTACTCTTGGTCCGGACCAAACGAAGCGAACTACAGATGTGAAAGCACCCTAACACATTAGTTTCGCTTTGTATGGAATATGCACATTTCCATAACAACGGTAGACTAATTACCTCAGACAAGCGCAGAGCACTGAAGTGTTTTTGTATTTCTTCCATAAATAAAACTTGTAATTGGAGAAAACGGATGATTGTTGCTTAGCAACGACAGACGCTACAGAAGTGTGAGCGCAGGAACGCATTAAAATTGGCGAAGAAGAAGATCTCGCAGAATAGTGTTCAGGTCACTATGTGATGCTGGTGGAGGAAAACATTTCCTGATTCGCTCCACCAAAACAGCCCAAACTGGCTCAATAATATTTGGATCGGGTGACTGTGCAGGCCATGGGAAATGTTCAACTGCAGTTTTATGTTCATCAAACCACTCTGTCACTAGTCTTGCTGTGTGTATAGGTGCATTATCATCCCGATACATGACGCCACCTTCAGGATACAATGTTTGACCTATTGGGTGCACACACAGGAGTAAATCCCGCGGGGGACGGGGGGCATGTCCCCTCCCATCCGATGATTGGTTATTTTTGCAAGTGTAATGTAAACAAGTTAGTTATTATGAGTATGGAAAATGTCTTTTCCTGCATTTATTCTGCTTCAGGAGTCAGTCTGTTGACTGTAAACAAAAACAACAAACAATGCAATAAATAGTTTTAAAGAAAAATTTGCTGTCATTGAACCTGCGAAAAACTTTGAAAATAATCATAATGACGTAGTTTCCATGCTATAATAATAATGATGACACCATTTTAACCGCGAGAGCATTATCAGTACAATTCGGCTGTATTATTTGTGTCACCTTCAAAAAAAATTCTCGAAAGAAATGTTATATTTATTGTCCCCCCCTACTGTTAAATCAGATTTACGCCCATGGATGCACATGGTCCTCCAGAATGGCTAGGTTGTCCCAAAGTCCCTTTAAAGAAAGTCCTTTTACTTGATGGACATCTTTAAAACGCCTCTCGGGCAGTATGCATAAAGACTGAAACATAAAATTCTCCAAAACTGCTTGCCGAGCTTAAGATTGAATTTCATATTAGGAATCACCAATAAAATGAAACAATCGTCTCTTTAGTTTCATTTCTATACATTTGAATTACGCAAAATCTGCAGAAACTCACATCTGGTTCGAGCCCCTCGCCCGGAGTATCTAAAGCAATTGATGATTCGCTCCTGTACAAGAAGGCGGGCTTTATTCACCATATAGCAATCAATGATTGGTTCCTGGACTAGTGGGAGGGGCTTTATTCACCATTACACTTTTCCCCATTCAAAAAGATACGAGTGACACGTTGTCCTTGGCAGTGATGCGCCCATCTAGCACAAGTATTGGACCTATAGGGAATGCCATGATATTGCAGCTCAAACCACCCCCATGCTTCATTCCGAGTAGGCAACAGTCAAGGTGGTACACATCTTTGGGGCTTCTCCACACCATAACTCTCTCGGATGTGGGAAAAACAGCGAAGGTGGACAGAGAATTTCACTGCTGGCACCATTGAAACTGGTGTTTGGCATTGGCACTATAGACCAAAGCAGCCGGCCATGTCTATTGACCCTGTGGAGCTCCAGACCAACAGTTTTGGTGGAAACCGGAGAGTTGAGCTACAGCTTCAATTCTGCAGTGAGTTGGTCAGCTATGGTTTTGTGTTTTTGAATGCAACCGGGGTTTCCCTTGCGTCCACAGTTACTTCAGTTGGATGTGTTTCTTCTTCTTGATGGTTTGCTGACTGACATAACTCTGGATACCGTGGCTCTTGATGATCACAAAGACTTGCTGTCTTGATGAACAGATGGGCCAGCGAGATGATTTGTCAACAATTTGTCCTCTTTTAAACTCTGATATGTCACCAATAATGCTGTGTGCATTGCAATATTGTAAGCAAAACGGCGCTATTACTCTGCTGATTAAACCTTCGCACTCTGTTCTTACTGGTGGAGTGTGCACTCAATGAAGATTGACCACCAGGCAGCTCAACATTAGCCATGAAACCTTAAACACTAAATTGGCCTGTGTTTCAGTTAGTCTAACCCCTGTAGGTGTAAATTCACTTACATACTTGACAACACCTAACCAACCAAAATAAAAAATGAACACCCCCATCCCCCCCAGACCTGATTTAAGAGAGAATATCATTGCATTTGAAAATCGATGCAGATTTCTCTGTTTAGCACAGCTCTAGTCGCGTAAATGCATTGTACGCTCTTGATGTTCTGACAGTAACGGCCCATATTCACACGGGGCGTCAGCGTCAATGCTTCCCATTCACTTTGAATGGGTGACGTCAGGCGTTGCTGAACTGCATTGTGGATCCGTCAGCGCCGCTTCAGAGGTGTTACTCGCTGCAGAAGTTGGGAACAGCTCAACTTAAAGCGCCGATGGAAGCGTCAGCCAATCAGATCGCTGTATGCAAATACACCAGCTAGACAGTGGCCTATTGCTGACTGAATTTCATTGGCTGACGCTTCTATGACGATCGCTTCAGCCCCAACTTCAGACACGCCTTCAGTCAAGCGTTGACGCTGAAGCCCCGTGTGAATGGGGCTTCGGTGTCTCAGGCAGTGTGTGAGGAGTTTATCGTTCACCTGAAGGGCTGGCTGTCAGGGTCGGTGTCTTTGAAGCCCATTTCCTCCAGTTTACAGCGCCTGTAGAGCTCGTAGTGTCTGGCGTGAGTCTGCTCTCTCAGATCTTCCATGTTCACCCGGATCAACATCTCCCTCAGCTTCACGAAATCACAGTGACTCTCGTTCTCCACTGCAAACGCACACACACATGAACACAACTGCAGTCAATACAGATCAGCATACGCTCACTAAAACTATTATGTTTGGAAATGTGTTAAATCTTCTCTCCGTTTAACAGAAATTGGGGCAAAAATACAGGCGGGGGGCGGGTTTATAATTCAGAGGGCTAATAATTGTAATACAGCTATGTTAATTCTGAAAAACACTGAACTGAGCTCATCTGCCTTTTATTTTATTTTAAGTGTACGCTACAAAAAACGAGACTTCCCAAAGCCGGCTGCTGTTCTGCTCTCGCCTCTTTGATGAAGCACATTTAATTAAACAGAAACACAGTCACTGCTAATGACGTGACCTTATCTGTGCAGAGCAAACCCTCTCTCCCTCTCTCTCATCTGAGAAAACACAGTAATTAGCTCTCGTCCAGAGTGGCATTTATCTCCGCTTTGATTGATAGGATTGTTTTCACATGAAAGGCGTAGTAAAAATACGCCTCAAGCAGCAGGATCCACAGGGAAAAGCTTAAGAAAAACCAAGAGCAGGGGTCAAATAAGAGTCCCAGTGTGTCTGACAGACGCCAGATATTCTTATTCATTGCAGATCTGTTTGAACTCAACAGTGTATATATATAATATAATAAATAAAATAAAGGGTAAAACAAGTTCAAATAAAGGTCCCAGTGTGTCAGGCAAGACTTCAGCATGACATTTTCATTCATTACAAATCTGCTTAAGCTCAACAGTGTATAGAATAAAATGAATTAAAATAAAATAAAATTATTAAAAACAAATAAAATAAATTACATAAACAATTTTTTTATTAAATTAAAAATAATGTTTAATAAAACAATTAATTAAATAAAAACGAGTTCAAATAAAGGTCCCAGTGTGTCCGACAAGACTTCAGCATGATGTTCTCATTCATTCCTGATCTGCTTAAGCTCAACAGTGTATAAGATAAAATAAAAAAATAAATAACAAATATTAAATTAAATCAAAAATAAAATTTAATAAAAAATGTAATTAAATAAAAAAACAAGTTAAAATAAAAGTCCCAATGTGTCTGACAGAGACAGTCATGATAAGCTCATAAATTACAGATCTGCTTATAAAATAAAATAAATATATGAATTAATAAATAGTAAACAAAAAAAGAATAATAAAAATAAAATAAAATATTAAAATTTAATTAAAAATGTAATTAAATAAAAAAGTTAAAATAAAAGTCCTAGTGTGTCTGACAGACGCGGCATGATATTCTCATTCATTACAGATCTGCTTATAAAATAAGATACATTAAATTAAAAATCTATGAATAAATAATAATAATAATAAAAACAAATAAAAATATAAAATTTTAAAAAATAAATAAAATTTTATAAAAAATACAATTAAATAAAAAACTTCAAAAAACTTTCAAATAAAAGTCCCAGTGTGTCTGACAGATTCCAGCATGATATTCTCATTTATTACAGATCTGCTTTAGCTCAACAACAGGGTCCCAGTGTGTCTGACAGACACCAGGAATAATAACTAAAATTAATGTAATGTTTATTGTATTATTGTATGTAAAAATATACAAATTATAAATGTAAATTAAAGTCCCAGACTGTCTGACAAACACCGGCATGATATTCTCATCCATTACAGATCTGCTTAAGCTTAAAAAAAATAAATAAATAATGATGATGAATCTGATGATCAGAAGTAAAAATCAACAGGGAAAACGAGCAACAATCCAGAATGCATGGTTATAATGTGTCATGGCTTTGTGATTAAAAAAAAAAATGTGATTATAATGAAAGTCAATGGGGTAAGAAACAGCCCCCAACATAACGAAAGGGTAGTCATTTTGCATATAGTGAAAAGTATTTACCCAAAATATGTGTCAAAATAAGATCGGTGACTAAAATCAGTCCATTTGCTGAAAGTTGTGGCCATATTAAGCCTCAAAATCACACTTGAGCTTCTTGGAAAAAAATAAAAGTGCTGCAAATATACACTAAGAGAGCCACACACTTTTTATTTTCAATTCCAGCTTACCTTGAACGACGCCCCATGGGTACTGCCTGGCCCTCACTGTCTTATTGCCCACCTTCACCTCCTCAACACTCCCCACCACAGCAAACGGTAGATGGGCCTACAAGAAGGACAATCCAACACATTAATGCCTCAATTAAAACACTAATTACTCAAACTATATCTGGTTTTCATTCATTCAGATCCACTATTTTAAATTCAAAGTAAATAATAGGTCTTGTTAATTAAAATAAATTAGATGTTTTTTTTAGATGTATTGATTCATTTATGTAATTAGGACAGTAAGGTCTGACTCTGCTCAGACAAAAGTCTCATCACTGAACAGAAATAATGTCCAGTATAGAATATAAAGTCCTGCTGCAGTGGAGACAGAATGAATATTGTGTCTGACTCCATCATGAGCTTGGAGGACTGCATCCATACATCTCTGACATGACTCAAATCACTGATTAATAAAGTCATCTGGAATGAAGAAGAAAGCCGTGCAGGACTCCCAGAGTTAACAAGACTCTTTGGATTCATCTTCAATGCCTCCTCCTTCATCTTACCCAAGACATGCTCAATAATGTTTATGTCTGGTGACTGGGCTGGCCAATCCTGGAGCACCTTGACCTACTTTGCTTTCAGGAGCTTTGATGTGGAGGCTGAAGTATGAGAAGGAGCGCTATCCTGCTGGAGAATTGTCCCTCTCCTGTGGTTTGTAATGTAATGTGCAGCACAAATGTCTTGATACCTCAGGCTGGAGATGTTGATCATCCACTCTGCAGATCTGTCCCACGCCCCCATACTGAATGTAACCCCAAACCATGATTTTTTCTTCACCAGACTTAAACTTAAAGACTCTTAAAACTGAGATCAATGACAAGACTTTTGTAAAGTAGGATATAGAAGGAAGAAAAATTATTTGGAAGTCAATGTTACAATATAAAGCAGAGGTTGAGTAATGACATATACAGTAATGACTCACGTTCATAGAGGAGTTGATTTCTGTGACGGCTTCATCGTCTGTGGGAAACTGGTAGATCTGAACGCCGTTGCTGACCAGCTCGCTCATGATCTTGATCTTGAACTTGTGCAGCTCGCTCTTGGAAATCGTGTCAGCTTTGGCGATAATGGGTATGATGTTCACCTGAAAATCAGTACATCACTAAAACACGTATAGCATGTTTGTGTTTTGCATTCACAATCATGAAAAGTAGATCTCCACCACTTTTAACAGTGCGTAAGCGCATGGAATATGCTGTGGGTAGGTCTGTCTGCGAGTGTAGGTGTGATCTTGAGCCCAAAATACCCTTCAGCTTTTACATAAACACTAATATCATCATTATCAGCCCAATTCTCCTCACTCTCTACACTTGACTTGCAAACAGCCGTAGATTTTCTTGCATTGTCCCCAAGTTTGGCCCCTTTTTTTTACATTCAGTTGGAGAAATGGATGAAATATAAAAAGATGCAACAACAACAACATGCATGAGGGGTTACACTTAAATTAAAACAATAACAAAACATTTTTACACTGTCAAAAATGTTAGGTTTCATACCTGTCCACATTTGCATGTGAAAATAAGGGATAGAAAATATCTCGTTATATCGTGAGAAATATTGTAATATTGTATTGTATCAATTTGTTCTTATGATGTTTTTTTCCACTAGTCTGAAAGATGACACGAGCAGCCTAAAAATCGAATTAAAAAAACTAATTAAAACCGGTTTTGCATGAAGCGTTTTCCCTTTTTAGCAATATTTGAGTGCTGCATGTATGACTATTTCATCTTTATAGTTCCTTCATTCAGCTGACCTTTCACTGGCCACAGGGACAAAAAGAAAAGAAAGAAACGAAACAGCTGAAATACATCAACATGACCCTTACAACACTCAAACAAACAGTTCGCAACTGTCAAACTAAATGTTAACAGAGCAAAAGCAGAAATATTACAGTATAATCACACTATTTTGGTCATTTCAAAAAGCTCTAAACACAACTCTTCACTGAATCTGACTAACTTAATGAGCTCTAACATTATATTATGTTTAAAAAAAATGTAAAACAGAATCCTGTAGTCAAAACTGTGCTCGAAATTACATTGCAAAATTAAATTACATATCACATTTTGACATTGATTTACAAGCATTCATTTACATGTGTTAATTTTGAATGTTGCGGTATCTTTAACCTCCAGTAAGCTGCAGTAATTACATAATGAAATATCAAAATATACAAAAAAAACTTTAATATTTACACATCTCACGGACATTAATTAAAGAATATTCATGTGCGTATTACACTGTAAACAGAAAATGCTGGGTTCCTCACAATTTCTGGTCAGAAGTGACCACTTTTGCAACGTAACACTTTATTTTTTCCCGTTCCGGATAATCAATCGAATTTATTTGCGTTTAATAATATTTTATCTTTCTTACTTAGCATATTGAGCGAATTTTGCTTTGAAAAATAATATTTATGCAGTAACCTCTATCCATTTTATTCATCATTAAAACCAGTGAAATTTATTTAGATTTTTATTAATGCAGTATTTCTAGTTAGAATAGAGTCTCTGCCAAATCTAAATTTTGCGCCTTCTGCTTATAAAAATGTGTAATTACATAGTGTAACTACCAGGATGCATGCATAGCTTTCTATGGGGCTGCTTGGTAATTCCATAGATGTTTACAGACAATTGTTGTTATTTGATGGAAGTATTGAAAGCTTAAAGACTATTTTGCGCCAAGTTATTTGTTAGAAATAGTAATTTGAAGTGTTGTTCATGCATTCTATTTCCGTTATTGATTGTGTTTCACACTTATAACTTTGCTCTGTATTAAAGATACAGTGTTTATAGATGTGTGTGTGTGTGTGTGTGTGTGTATGTGTGTGTGTGTGTGTGTGTCTGGGTGTGTCAACTCAATACTCACTGCTGTATACTTTTTTTCAGCATTATTGCTGATTTGTAGAATGTAAAGACAAAAATTCTCAGATATTTTGTGTTTTTGTAAACTTCCCATTCATTTCGTATGGCTCGGTCACTTTTGACCGAAAGTTAACAAGTGTGACTCTTTTCTTTACGATCACTTTGCCTGCTCGAATCCAGCCCTCAGTTTTTTTGTATGTTTAAACTCCAGATTTTAACAAATTCGCCAATTTTCTGACCATTCTGTTGAAGCTGTAAGTTTTAAAAATTGAAGTTTTTTGTCCGAGGTGAACCAGAGTGTTATGAAAGTTACCAATCAAGTGGCAAAGTTCAAAGTGAGCTCAGTGTCTTGATGTGAGCAGAATTCTTTTTACAAACCACACATGCTTACAAAATCCAATTGACACCAGCAAACCTATCAGCAGGTTGAATAAAACCCAAAACCTTCCTCAAGTTTGATGTGCATTTGTGTTCACGCGGCCCTGAGGCACACCATTATGGAGCATCTGTGAAAAACACAAACCCCCAGCTCACCTCTGGCTTATTTTCTGATGAAATGACAAATTGATTTCCACCGGCGGGCAGATAAAAGCCCCTGTCCACTGTCCTACATTTTCCACACGTTTGAGGATTATCAATACACACATCAGTGCAGCTATAATGACGTCTCGTACATACACTCACACACAATCATCACCAGAAGATGCTCATTCATGATGTTTGCAGCAAAAAAAAAATCTGAAATCTAACAATAGCTGGATATAAAAAAGTTCTTTAATAATACCAATACCCTTAATTACCTATTTATGTTTGATTAACTAATAATTCAAAATAAAAGTTTCATTTACATAATGTATGTGTAAAAATATTGTGTATACATAAATAAAACAATATATAAAATACATACATATATATATATTTATTTAAATAATTTCTAAATATTCTAAATATATATATACATTTTCTTTATTCTTTAAATGCACTAATTTATTTATTTATTTATTTTATGCTTCATTTATTTCATATTAAATAATTTGATGCATTAAAAAAATAATAATTAATCCATTTAATTGCAGAAATATTTAAAACCATTTAGTGTACTTTTTGTATTTTAATTAATTTTAAATTAAATCATTTTCTGATAAATGTCTATAAATACTTTTATTAGTTCATTAATGATTTTAAATATCATGACTTTTGACTAAACTAGTGATATACTGCACACTGTTAATAATCCAAGAAAACCAACCCACATAAAATATTAAATAATGAGAAAATGTTAAACGTTCGTGTATTATTATATTACCGACATTATTCTATAATCAGCAACTAGTCTAGTGGTTAGTGCACATGCTATTGGTCACTATCTGAAGTAAACTACATTGTATCAAAATACAATGATTATTATTTACTGGTATACTACAGGAGCTGATGAATGCTTGATTCTGATTGGCTGGCGTACATTCTAAAGTGTGCAGATATTTATTATATAAGCACACAGCTAGAGTAGAGCCAGGCAGGTTGAGCTCATTGCAGTTCCATAATAATATCTAATCTAATCTAATACTGATGTCAGCTGAAATTTGGTTGGTTTTAGGTTGTGGCATTACCCAACCAAAAATTCAACATCTAGCTAACATCTCAAAACAACGTGAATTTGACGTCAAATACCGATGTCAACTGACGTTGATATTTGGTTGGTTTTAAGTTCTGGAATTAACCAACCAAAATTCAACATCTGGCCAACATCTCAAACCAACGTCAATTAAACGTGAAATACTGATGTTAGCTGATGCTGATATTTGGTTAGTTTTAGGTTGTTAAATTAACCAACCAAAATTCAACGCCACCCAACATCAAGCCAACGTCAATTTAACGTCAAATACTGATGTCAGCTGACGATGATATTTGATTGGTTTTAGGCTGTGGCAATAACATACCAAAATTCAACATCTGGCCAACACCTCAAACCAACGTGAATTTGACGTCAAATACCGATGTCAACTGACGTTGATATTTGGTTGGTTTTAAGTTCTGGAATTAACCAACCAAAATTCAACATCTGGCCAACATCTCAAACCAACGTCAATTTAACGTGAAATACTGATGTTAGCTGATGCTGACATTTGGTTAGTTTTAGGTTGTGGAATTAACCAACCAAAATTCAACGCCACCCAACATCAAGCCAACGTCAATTTAACGTCAAATACTGATGTCAGCTGACATTGATATTTGATTGGTTTTAGGTTGTGGCAATAACATACCAAAATTCAACATCTGGCCAACAGCTCAAACCAACATCAATTTAACGTCTAAAGGCTCCTAAACTCCGGGACGCTTTTCGTTTGCATTTATCGTCAGCGTTTTACGAGATGTTTTTCTGCATTCAAACCCAAGCGCTTTTCACTGGCGTCAAGCAGAAGAGTATGCGAAATCACTCCTTGACGTTAGATGGCGCTACACAACTTAAAGCTTCCGACACCCGCTTGTAACATAGAAGAGGAAGAGAGGAAGTTCACACGCTTGTTAAAGTTACTGGTGACTTGAACAAGCATAGATGGGTCAAGTAGCAGCTCCAGCTCTAGCGATGAAGAAATTATTATTGTTCACCAGTGCAATAAGCAGCTCCACGTTCATATAGCCTCTGGTTGTCTTCTTCAGTTTTGCGCTTGAGCGCCTCCAAGTGTTGTTTACTGTAACTTCAGCTGCTCCGTGCACGTGAACAAAAGTGGAAACCTGATTGGTGGAGGTTTTAACGCGGCACATCAAATGAAAAAAAAAAACGAGCATGAGACGTTTTTTTTTTTAAATGACGCTTTTGCACCTGGCAGTTTGCGCGTTGCTGTGCACGATCACATTGACGCCCTTTATATAGTCATGAGGCGTTAAAAGTTGATGGAAAACGCGAGCAAAAAATATCTCGGTGTACACGGGCCTTAATACTGATGTCAGCTGATGTTGATATTTGGTTGGTTTTAGGTTGTGAAATTAACTAAACCAAATTCAACACCTAGTCAACATCTCAAACCAACATCAATTTGACAACAAATACTGATGTCAGCTAACGTTGATATTTGGTTAATTTTTGGTTGTGGCAATAACATACCAAAATTCAACATCTGGCTAACATCTCAAACCAACGTCAATTTAACGTCTAATGGCTCCTAAACACCGGGCGATTTTCGTTTGCGGTTATCATCAGCGTTTTACGAGATTATTTTCTCATTTAAACCAAAGCGCTTTTCACTGGCGTCAAGCAGAAGAGTATGGAAAGTTGCCGTCTAATACTTATGTCAGCTTATGCTAATAATTGATTGGTTTTCGGTTGTGGCAATAACTTACCAAAATTCAACGTCTAGTCAACATCTCAAACCAACGGCAATTTAATGTCTAACACTGATGTCAGCTGACGTTGATATTTGGTTGGTTTTAGGTTATGGAATTAACCAACCAAAATTCAACGCTACCCAACATCTCAAACCAACGTCAATTTAACATCTAATACTGAAGTCAGCTGATGTTGATATTTGGTTGGTTACAAATTGTGGCATTAACTTACCAAAATTCAACATCTAGCCAACATCTCAAGACGTCATCAGTTATTCCTAACATAAAACACACACCCACCTTGCTGTCCAGCTTCTTCATAGTGACTAAATCCAGGGATTTGAGCGAGTGTCCCGTCGGAGAGATGAAGTAGAGGCAGATGTGGATTCTGGTGTCGTGGTAGTTGAAGAGAGAACGCTTTATTTTCAGCTCTTCCTGCAGGTAGTTTTCAAACTGTGTGTCGATATAGTCCACAATGGGTTTATAGCTGAGGGAAACAAACGTGATGTGATCAGCAATTAACTCTGATATGCCTACAAATCACATACTAACTTCTTAACGTTACAGGCTTCAAAATTGTACTATGTTTGTTTAGCTAGCACACATTGTTAACACTTAATGTCCAAGTTAATCCACTAAAGGAAAATATGAATTTGTTTTGGTAATCTTCAATCAAAGTCTGAGTATCTGCTTCTGGGTATGTGTATAAGCTATGGAATGGCTTACCCATCAGCATAAGGGATGCCGTTTCTCACCTTTTTACCGTTGCTTTTAACTTGGATTGATTATTTTTGTTAGTTTTATCATCTAATTGTATTGAATTGTTCATATTTTATTGTTTCATTGTGGTCTTTTTTTTACTGTTTTTATTGTTCTGCTTTGTTTGCCTTGTATGCCTGTAGCACTTTGGGTCTGAGAAAAGTGCACTATAAATAAAATGTATTATTATTATTATTATTTCGCGTTTGGAGTGGGCGGTCCTCCCCTGATGATGTCAGTTTGACGCTTCAGCCACAATAATTTAAGCCACGCCCCTCTTACCATTAGTTTTCTACCAGGGAATGATTCTCAAAAAGAAAGCCCCACCCCCTACCCAATATTCAGTTTCAGTTGAAAGCAATGGTGCCTGCAGCCATACAGGGCAAGAGAGGGCGCGAACTGATACAGCTTTTTATTTATTTATTTATTACATAATTTATTTTGATTATTAAACAGTATACACTGTGATATATTGACAATGCAAGACAGACAATGCACTTTAATTCATGGGAATTAATTAAAGTGTGGGTTTATGTGTTTTAAAGTGTGTATGTACTTGCATGGTGGGAGATGGGTATTGAAATCTATTGGCTTTAGTTTTGCTGGCGGTTTTTCCACACACTAAAATTCACAAGCTAGCTATTGATTAAAACAAGGTTCAAAATGAGTAAACGCTCTGAGACATTAGCCAAAATGCCTAAAACTAATGAGACGAATATTGCTTCCCCACACAGGGTGGAGACCACAGTCTCATTAGCACTTGAGCCGGGCGAACTCCAGACCCAGCCCTATCCTGAGGTCTCCTCGCATGAAACCGCTATACGATTCAAGGTGCTTTAAACTATTTTATCTGACAGACTAGCACAAATAAGCAGACATCTTCATTCTCACAACAAGTTTCTGAGTTCTCTCACCCTTCCAAAAGAGTTTGAGACTTATTTTAAAGCACTTCACCTCAGAATTTATTTGTTATTCTTGTTTATCTAGTAGATGACTGACCTACAAAACATATTAAAATTTTAGATACAGTAATGTGCTTTCATTTTCTCTGTCGCATTCGTAGCAATGCCCTTAAACAATCTAGCCTTTGACAGCAAGCCTCAGTGTTTTTGAGATTGAAATAAGAATAAGGGATAATGGGGCGGGTGGTGCTGGATATGTGCGTACCTTTAAATGAAAACCTGCAGGCGCCCCTGGTTGGCAGTACATAATCATACTAAAATAAACGCCTCAGCAACAGCTCACTGAGGCTTTAATTCATAAACATTATCTATCATTTATCTTCTCTGGTAAAAGTTAAGATGGTGTGTGTGAGAATGCAGAAGATGCAGCTGTGTGGACTTGACTGGAGCATGTTTACTCTGTCCTTTGACTTCTTGAGCATTTTCCCCTGAAAGCAAGCAGTCATAGCCTAAAAAAAAATCTTATTCTGAGCGCATTTTTCCCAAACGAAAAGATGTCTGGAACTGTTCCCAAAAATGTTAGATAATCAGCTGGTCCAGGCAGCGCTGTGGCTCAGTGGTTAGCACTGTCACCTCCCAGCAAGAAGGTTGCTGGTTCGAGTCCAGGCTGGGCCAGTTGGCATTTCTGTGTGGAGTTTGCATGTTCTCCCCATGTTGGCGTGGGTTTCCTTTTGGGTGCTACGGTTTCTCCCACAGTCCAAACACATGCGCTATAGGGGAACTGGATTAGCTATATTGGCCGTAGTGTATGAGAAAACATAAGAGTGTATGGGTTTTTCCTAAGATTGGGTTGCAGTTGGAAGGGCATCTGCAGTGTAAAACATATGCTGGATAAGTTGCCGGTTCAATTCGCAGTGGCGACCCCTGATAAATAAAGGAACTAAGCCAAAAGAAAAAGAATGAATGATTGAATGAATGAATGAATGAATGAATAAGCTGCTTGTGTGTCCAGTTTTACACACTCAATATAATACAGATGGTCCAAGAAGAAACAATTGAAGAGTAGAAGCGTCTAAATATTATAATATTATATATATATATTCCCCCTCAACAAATGGTCAATAAAAGAAGGCAGTTTTTTAAGAAAGTCATGAATAATATAAGAAGCTGTTTTGCTTAATTATTATTTTGATAATTGCGAATTAAACAATTTAGTCTTAGATTAAACGGTCAATGCTCATTTTTTTGTGATGAAAAGCTTCATTCATTCTTAACCAAATTAGCGAATAAAATACAGTATCTCTGTACAGAATCAATACTTCAACCCATTAACAAACACATCCCGAACTAGTCTCTAACCAAGCCTTTGAGGTATCAATTTGGCTGTAATTCACACAATTAAAACCTCCTTCAATGGTCAGAAAACTAAATAAAATACCAAGTGAAAAAGTGAATGAGGTGAATTAATCTAATTTGTTTTTATAAACCCATCAAGTTTACATGATTTCAGTCAGAAATTTTCTCACACGTTGTGATCTTCGTCCTATTTTCAAATAGTTCCCGTGAAATTAAAGTAGTTTTTAAAATGTTAGTATCAGTATGTTGTTCTTAAGTTTATCTAGAAGCTAGTGTGATTTTTCTGACGTCACCTCATTCTTCAGTTTCTCATCAAACAAATGCTCTCTGGTATCTAGTACGAAAGTCTTACCTTTCTTCTTTGTTGATTTGGTCCCCAAAGCCCACTGTGTCGACGATAGTCAGCTTCAGGTGGACGTTGCTCTCTTGCAAGTCGTACGTTCTGGGCCGCAGGTAGACGCCGTTTTGGTAATGGCTGGCCTCCTCGTTTTCAAACATGGTGTTAAAAAGCGTGTTCATTAATGTAGACTTGCCGATGCCCGTCTCACCTAATGAGGAGAGAACATGTGGTTAGCAACAGCGAGAATCTGACATTGCGATATATTTAGTTTTTCTGCCATATTTAGTTGATGTCTAAATTATAGACTAATTATTCATTCATTCATTCATTTTCTTGTCGGCTTAGTCCCTTTATTAACCCGGGGTCGCCACAGCGGAATGAACCGCCAACTTATCCAGCAAGTTTTTACGCAGCAGATGCCCTTCCAGCCGCAACCCATGTCTGGGAAACATCCACACACACATTCACACACACTCATACACTATGGACAATTTAGCCAACCCAATTCCCCTGTACCGCATGTCTTTGGACTGTGGGGGAAACCGGAGCACCCAGAGGAAACCTACGCGAATGCAGGGAGAACATGCAAACTCCACACAGAAACGCCAACTGAGCCGAGGTTCGACCCAGCGACCTTCTTACTGTGAGGCGACAGCACTACCTACTGCACCACTGCTTCGCCCCTATAGACGAATTACCGGTTTGTAAACATTCAGGATGCGCACGCAGTGAGGTGGCAGAAAAAAAACAGGAGTGCTAGCATTTACAGCGAGGGAATGACAACCGATGCGGTACAGAGTTTGTTCTTGTAGTAGAAAGAAGTTAAATTGATTACATATTATGTATATTATTTCCATAATGCTTTCAGTGTATAACAGCTCATCACCCAGTAATAAGCACAGTTATTCTGCAAAATTAGCGTTAAAGTAAGCGGCGTTCGTCTGACAGGTCTCCTTGCAATAGAACTCTCCCAATGGATATTAGATAAGACGAAATGGCCGAGCATCCAGCCCGAAATATACAACTACCTCAATGAACCTCCATGTGATTTTACAAGAGAGCAGTTAAAGGCCTACAAGTATTTGGATGCCTACAATTTTGTTCTGTGTGTTCACGTGCAAGAAATAATGTTCTGTGATGACCAGATTCAAAACTTTGTAGTGCTGAAAACCGAAGTTCTGCCTAACCAAAGACAAGGAAAGAAGACGGAGCTGTCCGCTTGTTAAGTGTGACATCATGCGGAGCAGCTTCCGGGTCCAAGCGCTCTATTCAACTGAATGGGGAGATTCATGAAATGGTATTAATAAACGTTTACGAAGCGATTTAATACTTTAAAATTAATACTCCCGGTCCTCCTGATTGGCCAATCCGGGCTAACTCATAATGAGACTGAGCATTTAAAAATGACACAAACCGAAATCAAAACTTTTAAAGATAGAAGTGAGACTTTCTTTTGTCCGTTCTTTCTTAAAGGGCCATGAAACCCCCTCGTTTCAGCAGGGTGTTTTCACACTTCTACTTTGGAAAAAGTCAGAAAAGTGGGCGTGTCCAGCTCTGTTTAGGGGGGAGTGTCGGAGGAACTAAAGTGGGATGGTGTGGGAGTGTCTATTTGGGCACGCGCGAGTTTCAGTCAAAATACACAGACAGGAGAAAGTGATGGTGTTTAACCTACATGGACATCTGTAGTCGAATTATTTGCCAAATTATTAAATGCTGGACTTTAATTGCAGTTTGGCTCTTTCATTCAGGGAATTCATTCATGCCCCTCGCGACAAACGAGATATTTGATTCGGGGATCTGCTCTAAGCGTGTATTTTTCATGCAATGTTTGATACCGCACGGCGAATGAGAGAAAAAAAAACTCTGCATTTCCCGGAAACTTAGATGCACACGGCAGGTAGCGTCAGAAAGCCGCGTGTGTTATTCCGGTCACAAAATGCGGTGCTATGTTTGCACTCAGTGCAATAGTTAACTTAATTCGATACGAACAAACTGAATAAACAAAGAGCACTGGTCGCTCACTTACCAAATCTGTAGAGACAGGACAATCACCAGCAACTAGAGCCGCGTCATTATGAAGAGAAGACTAACGTTACAAGCGAATCCGGATCTCAGCGTTTGCAGATGAGAACAGCTCTCAGGTAAACAATAATCCTCCTTAGACACGTAAGTTATTGTTGTCGAGCGTCGCGTACACTGTTAATCCACACGTGAGTCTGAGCTCTCACAGAGAGAAAATGAAAACTAAACTTAATGGCAGCAAACTATAAAAGCAACACTTCACGCTTGTTTTGCCAACACAACGTGGCGTCTCTGTCGTGTAAATACGGTGACACTAATGAATATTAATGAAGTTGCACAATAGAGCGCGCTGATTGGTTTGAACCAAGCCTTACTCATGCATTAATGCAGCACACTGTAAGACGTAATAAGACTCACTCTGGCACAGACGTCCAGTCTGCACGCTGGAATACACGCTATTATCTCACGACCGTGATGCAGCTTCAAAAATTAGTTTCAAACAGGAAGTACGAATTTGCTTGAAATAACGCAAAAACAACCAATTTACACTTTTTAGTGAAATATAGGTGTCCTAATAGTGTTTTTAGCAGTGTGGGACACATATACGACTGTCAACAGCTCAACACATGTGTTTTGGTGTTTCGTGACCCTTTAAGATATATATTATTTTGCTATTTAGTTACTGATGACTGCTTTGCAGCTCTCAGCCTTGAATTTAATGATTTTTTATAGTCTTTTGTTTGTTTTGTAGCAAAAATATTATTCATTAAATTGACATGCATATAAAAACAATAGTGCGAAATAAATATTTCTTACTGTAATGCTTTATTTTTGTCAGATGCAAACCATAAATTTATTTTTCATAAAGTAACAGAGCTTTTATAGCAGATAACTCAAATTAAAGCACATTCAAAGCAGCATCATAACGAGAAATGTAATTCATTGTTACTATTATTGCCATTTTCATCATCATTAATATTCTATAATTATTATTATACAATTTGGAATTATTGCACACAAATATCATGTTCATCTAAGCATTAGATAGTTGTTTCTGGGTTTTGTTAGTCCTAATTAATGTTGTTTTTAAAATACAATAAATCCATTAAAATACATGCTCCGAAATTTTTTGCTGGTGCTCCTAAATATTTGAAGCTGGTACCGAGTAAAAAAGTTAATTTCGAGCCCTGTATTAGTGTTGTTACAATACTGGACTTTCTAACTTCAATACGACACCTTGAAAAATATCAATATTCCATACCATATTTGATACTGAAGAGGAAATAAATGTAGCATGTCTCCCTGTCATTTAAAATATGCAACCCATAGGCTACGCAGTGTGTAAACTGATCAGTTCTAGCGAGAGCTGAATTCTCCTTCCACTGACACAGTGTTGCGATGGGTTGTTAATGTTGCTTACCCACACAGAGGATGTTGAAGCAGAAACCCTGAGTCACCGATTTACTGACCAGCTGATCGGGCAGACTGTCAAAGCCAACATGACCGCCGAGGCTGAGGTTACGCTTTTCTTCATTCTGCAGAGAAACAAGACATTTCTTTCTTTAGGCTGGCGTAAAAAAACTGGCTCTGAAATCAGGCACATGTAAAAGACAAGGCAACAAAAATAAAATAAGTACATTAAATGTAATAGTAAGCAGGGCAAAACCATATCAGGTAATCATATCAAATCACATGAGTAATTCTAATAACGATATATATAATTACGATATAGTACTAATAGTTTATATATAGACATTGACCACATTGATTCAATTATTTTCCTTCAGCGTAGTCCCTTATTTATCAGGTGTCACCACAGCGGAATGAACCGCCAACTATTCTAACATACGTTTTACACAGGGTATGGCTTTCCAGCTGCATATCAGCACTGGGAAACACCCACACACGGCCAAATGAGTTAATTCAATTCACCTATAGAGCATGTGTTTGGACTGTAAGAATCCTTGTGGTTATTTTGTGGATAAAAATTCGTCAGGTGGACTCTCTCCAATTTTAAATCCCAGGTTAAAACCTTTCTGTTCAGGATTGCTTTTAATGACTTTCTGGATTAATATGATGTTTATTACTCTTCTGTCTTGGTTTTATAATGTGCCTGTGACATATTGTAAGGTGTCCTTGAGTGCTTTGGAAGGCACCTATAAATAAAAAGGTATTACTATTATTATTATTATTACTAAAAATTCCCTAATTTAAATAAAAAACAAGCCTAATATTTTATGACAATTTAAAGGGAAAAAAAAGATATAGCGTTAAGCTTTAACATTAACTTTTTGTTTATTTGTTACCATTATTTTATTATTATTATTTTATTATTATTTTTTTTATTACTATTTTTATTATTACTATTACTATTGTTATTTTATAGCAAAATAAACAAATAAGTCACAAATATGAATGCAAAACTATTGTGGTTCTATTGTGAATAAAAATATAATAACTTAATTCAGAACTACAAAAATCTAAATCCCACCACAATGCTTATCACACTAATGAGTGCCTTAAAATCAAAATGCTTATTTTAAAAGCTTTTCCTTTACATTTTTACTAGTAACTATAATATAACATTTAACAACACATTTAACATAAACATGTTTTTGCTTATTATTATTAATATTATTAATATTATCATTATTATACCATGATAAAAACATAATATAACCATGATTACTTTGCATGCAAATTTGTGATTTTTGTTGAAAAAAAAAATCCATAATTCAGAACTACATATCCCACCAAAATGCTTTTATCCTACCTTAAAAATGTTTTTTAGATTGTTTTATGTTTACAGAGAAAATAAAAATAAACTGTAATACTTTAACACTACCTTTTTTGATTTTTTCTTCATATTCTTCTTCTTCTTATTATTATTATTATTATTATTATTATTATAGCAATATAAATATATAAAAATCACAAATTTGCATCAAAAATAAAATTGTACTTATATTGTGTATAAAGTACACACTAATAAGTGCACCAAAATCAAAGTGCTTTTTAAAGATTTTGTTTTATGTTGATCATTTAAATCTTTATATTTTGATTAAGCTATAATTATAAACTGTAATGCTTTAATTTGACCTTTTTGGTTTATTATTATTATTATAGTGCTATAAATATATAAAAACACAAATTTGCATTAAAATAATTGTGCTTATATTGTGGATGAAAATAACATAATTCAGAACTACACAAATCTATAGATCCCATCAAAATTCGTTTAAAATATATTTAATTGTTTATGAAAAAATATAGAACTGTAAAACTTTAGCATGAACCTTTTTGTTTATTATTCATTCATTCATTCATTCATTCATTTTGCTTCAGCTTAGTCCACAGCGAAATGAACTATTCTGGCATTTTTTATCTTCTGGCATTTGCCCTTTCAGCCATGCCAGCAAACCACTGGAAAACACCCATATACTTCACGCACACTACGGACAATTTTGTTTACCCAATTAACCTATAGCGCATATGTTTGGACTGTGGGGAAAACGAGAGCACTCGCACCTACGGCAGCACAGGGAGAACATGCAAACTCCACACAAAAAAAACAACTGACCCAGCTGTGACTCGAACCTGTGACCTCCTTGCTGAGGTGACAGTGCTAACCACTGAGCTACCTTGCTGCCCTTGTTTATTATTAGTAATAATAATAATATTTTAATAACTCCATATTTCAGAACTACACAAATCTAAAACCCCACCAAAATGCATTTATCACACTATCGAGTGCCCGAAAAATCAAAGTGCTCCTCCCTCGTCTGGGTTTGTCTGTTTCCCCAATGCAGGCACATATTTGGTGGATGATGTCACCGAGACGATCGCTGAGCAACCGAGGGAAGCAGCAGATCAGCCGGCGCAACAAGCAGAGCACAAAAGAAATTCTGTCTGGAAAACCTGCACGGACCCCTGTGGCATTTCACAAACAGAGGCACTAAAGGGGAGCTCCGACATTAGGAGCTGAAGGAGAATCGGCTGAAAACGTTTCTGGAAAACATGCAGTCTGGAGGGAGGGGAAAATACAGAAAATAACTACAAAAAAAATTTGGGAAGGCTTGAACAATGGCCATATACGGGCTGATATAAGCAAATGCCCCCCCGCCGCCGCCGCAGGGGAAACATTTCCCCTCAGGGGGCAGTAGATCAAGAGGAAATGGAGCAGCGTTTAGCCCACAGAACAATATTTTCTCAAGCCGCCCTTCACAGTGACAGGCCCAATTCACACACGCTGACAGAACACTGAGAGCTGTGTGTGTGCAAATCGCTCAACATTCCACACATTACTCAGAGAGAGAGAAAGAGAGAGAGAGTGAGCCCATCTGAAAACACTTCCCTCAATGCTAACACCACCACATTCCTCCTCAGGATGCAAACAATATTATGAATTATGAGCTCGTCACAATCTTCCATTTCATTATGATGAAACTTTAATAGAATTTGCTCTCGAGCTTCAAACTTGGATCTAAAACTACTGTAGCTTCATCTGTGAGTAGGCCCGTCACAATAATCAATATATAAAGCAATTTCACACGAGTAGCAGTGTGCCATGGCTGTATATCAGCACTTAGCGCCCCACCAGTGCTGATATACAGCCATAGCACACTGCTACCAGTGTGATATTGCGTTTATACAACAGTTCAACGCCACAATCTTGTACATAAAAAATAAAATTAAAAACAGAGTCTAAAACCCTTTTGTATTAGGAACTACTTTCTTCCGCCATTCATTCACATCTGCAGCTGACGTCAGAACAGCAGAAGCCGTTACTAATTCACCAACGTCACTTTAGAGCTAGTGTTTGAATGATTCTCTATAGCGTAATGTGAAGCAGCGCTTCTGGTGTGTGACCGCCTTAAGGTGATGACAGCAAATTTTGCTCACATTTTAAGATTATGAGGCTGAATGTGACATGAAATGCCATCAGTCTACAAAGATTTCTCACCAGACTGCTGTTGTGTTTGCGATAAGGAGGGACGAGGCTGAATCCAGCTTCTTATTCGCTGCTTCTTCTTGACTCTATCCGGTCCACCTTAAAAACCACGAGACTTACGTTTTTCAGCTTTTTGTTCGCGCTCGAGAACACATTGTGCAAGGGCTTATTATGCGTTTCTGGCGCCATCTTGTGGATAGAAAATGTCATTCGCCGAAGACGAGCTCTCAGAAATTGTAAATATTTTAAAATAGGCACTATTCTTACAAATAAACTGCATAGTTGCAATCTAAACAACTACATTCTCCACTAAAAAAGCCTCAAAAGTACATTTTGCTGTCTAAGCAACAGTAATATTTGTCAAACTGTAGCCTGCTTTTTGCTTGCTGCTTGTGGGCGGAGTAATACACAGAGGTGAAGAGGCCTTTGTGTGATGTTACTGGCAACATATCGCACGGCTAACAGCCAATCAGATTTAAGAACCAGACAGAACTATTGTATAAATTGCCAATCAATCATTTTTGGTGATCGCCCATACATAAAAACCAATCTCTATCTCTATAGAAGGTGTCAGTGTCAGTATAGTTAAACACACTGTAGTATTTAGTATAAATTACTATAGTATAATTACATGTGGGTGCCCGACAGGCTGAAAACAGATCCGATAGCAGATATCACTCTTTTACTCTCTTTTACCTCGCACTTTCTGTTAACATTTATTATTATTTATTTAGGATATGCGTTTTCACATTCTGATTCCAGTGCCTCATTATCAAACTGACCATAATAAATTAAATATTCTTGAGAGTAAAATATGATTGTGTTCTTTCAGTGTTTCCTCTAGGATTTTTCCAGCTGTGGCGGCAGGCCTTTTACTCAGATCTACCAACTATCTACGGCGTTATTTCAATGACAAATGTCGTGCGCGCAGTATTACAACTAGAAATCGCATTTATCTAATATGAGCATGCATCTCTTTGCTTGCATGCCGATTTCCTCTGTTCGTGCACTAAACCTCTTGCACACGCCCTCAAATATACGATGCTCAAGCGCAGATTTTCTTGTAGGCTTTCAATTAAACGCTGCTGAAGTGTGATTTAGTGTGTTTATGTAGTGAGTATGTCTCCAGTATTTATTAGATTTGCTAGGAATATTTATAAATGTCTCCAATAGACCTACAGAGCGGCATTAATGCGACCTGAAGTGAAGCGAAACGGCTATAAACTCCACCAAAATAAAGTCATTGCATGTCACCTTAAATGGTTAAGCAAATAACGCACAGCACTACATTGATTTTAGGAAAGTTCGCATACCTTTTAATACGTTTTGGTGCGATTATCACCTACTATTGAAAAAAAAAAAAAAAAAAACAACGACTGAATGTTTTGCATGAGAAGCTGTAATGTAGTTGTGGCACTCCGCCATGGAAGAATGATTGTAGCGGAAACCATGTCTTTGGAAGAGTGTACTTGCATCGTGATGATATTATATGGTTATTCTGGTATTATATAAGTGGCATGAAACGGTCTTAAAATGACAATAATATTGTTTAATCGCAATATATTTTGGTGTGATATATCATAC